ACCCTTTTTCCATGTCAACATAATGAGTTGAGTTAAAAACATGGTCTTTAATCATAAGAAGTTTCTTTTTCTGTTTAAAAGCAGAACAGTCCTCTGAAAGTAGGTTAGAGCTATCTTTGAAATAACTTTGTAACAATTTGTACTAATCTTGAAAGTTATGAAAAATTTCAGCTAGGAAAGAACAATTAAGACCTTCTTGTTCAGGGGCCTCCCTGGTGGCACAGGGATAAGTCTCAGCACTATCAAATCTCTCCTGTCTTGCCTGCTGCTCCCCTCAACAGTGTATTTCAGTAGATCTGCCTGTTCTGCTCTCCACTCTGCCTCTAGTGGATCCTCTCACCCCACCAGCAACTCTGGCCTAGACCCCAGTTCTTGTATGCATAAATAAATAAAGTAAATCTTCAAAAACTATTCATTTGAAAAGTGGTCAGACACTGATTTAAAAAAAAAAAAAAGACCTTCTTGTTCAATTGTCATTTAAGGAATGAAATCACTGTAGCCCAGCAAGTGTATGAACCTTATTCAAAGTTATGTTGGCAAAGTTAGGTACAGAGCCCACGACTTCCATGGCCAGCACTGAATCTCACTAGAACCAGATTTAATCACTTGGAGGATTTGACCATGACCCTAAGGAACCTCTCCCATAATCTTACTATTTCAAAGAAGCCTTACTATTCAAATCAGAAAGTTAATCTTAATGTTGGCGTCTGATAGGTCCTTCAAATGCCAGGAAGTCAAAGGATTAGCTTCAAATTTGTAGTTTATAAATCCACAGCACAACACTTTGACATCACTGTACGTGAAATTAAAACATTAAAGACCATCTGACCTTCCCAACATTTTTATTTTGGACAAAGGCACTTAAAGGTTTTCGGAATAATTGACACATTATTGAAATAATTTAAATTCTATTTTCCAATTGAGGTAAAGATCAGAAAATAACTATTCTGCATACAAATCTTAACCACTGTCCAAAGATTATATCTAAAGTGATTCTTGTTTATACTCTAATGGAAAGTGGAGAAATTATTTTTGGTCTATCACTCATGGACTAAAGTTCAAGTTCAGTTAATGGCAATGAACTCATTTAAATCATATATATATATATATATATATATATATTTTAGTATACTGAAAAACTCATTTTAATCAAGACTGTTGAAAATATCTAAGGAATGTTACCAAATATGTAATGGAGCTATTGTATATTTTGCAAACATACATGTTAAAGCTATTTAATAGCTCATACTGTAATGATGCTGTGGTTAGAAAAGGGACAGTCATTGAGAGAGAGCCAAGATGGAGCTCAACATGACAGTACAGAACATCACTACATCCATTCATTAATGCTGTCCCCAAGGAACACCCTTGCCTCTCTTTTGTCCTACAAACCACATCAGCGACATCACTAGTTGTGGTATAATGCATACGATGTCAAAATACTTAAAGCAAGTATGCTCGAATTCAGGGTACTGGTGATACAGTCCAACAAGAACATTGTAGAAGTATTATGGGACTATTCCGAAATTTTAAATTATTCTGGTGAAATGCAAAGAAGAAGTATAGAATGTTTTTCTAATATTAAAAGAACAGTATCTCTGCACTACTTGAGAAGGGTGTATTAAGAGCACTTGACTGAAAGAGCACTGTTGCATAAACAGTTTTTTTGTGGGGTCAGCAGAACACTAAAGATTACTAGAAAGATATCTGAGAATTTCCCTCCTTATTTAGTCATATTTTCTTTAACTACAGGATACATTCTGAGAAATGCATCATTAAGTGATGTTTTTCAGTGTTAATGTCACAGAAACCTAAATGGTAAAGTCTACATCTAAATGGTTGATTTAATCAATAATCAATAGCACAGTTATGCTATTTTCTCTGTTTTAGCTAAGATGGATTATGTTCTCCAAGGAAAGTTATGAGAAAGAGGATAACAATGATAAAAAAAAAAAGTCAGCAACTTAGGACATTGCAGAAGAACTTTTATGAATTTTTCAGTCTGTCATTTTATGATTTTATATTACTAATGGAACTGTTTTATTTTCCTTGTCTTTGTTAATGTTTACCCCATCAGCTGCTGTGTATCAATGGATATAAAATTTAAAGCACATGAAAACAGACATAATGAGGTATAGTCAAAAGAGCATTGAGGTAGGAGTCAATATATCTAGTTCCTAACACAACCACTTGAATCAGAAAACATAAGACCATAAAATTTAAAACATACAAGTAAGAAGAATTGTTTATCACTCTGATAGACAGCAAGCTAATGCATGGAGAAAAAACTTTTTCCACCAAATTCCTCCAATAACTAATGAAAAGTCTAAGGCTTAGCTAGGAATAGCAAAATATCTTAACTACTAGGTACAGAAATTAAATATATGCAGACACAATAATTAGTTACTCAAATTTTCCACTGACTGTCTACTATATATGTCAATGTTTTTATAAAAATTTTAGTGCATGAAATGACATTATCAAAGTGACTTACACCAGTCCAACCAGTGCTCTAGTTTCTTTAATTTCACTTTAACATTAAAAATATAGGGCCTCCCTGGTGGTGCAAAGGGTTAAGACACAGCCTGTGAAGCTAACTGCAGCCACTGCAGCACAAGTTCAATCCCTGCCCAGGGAGCTACCCACATGGTGCAGCAGACCTCGCCTGACTCGCCCGCTGTTCCCCTCAGCTATTTGTCATTCCACCTGTTCTGTTCCTCCACTCTGTCTTTGGAGCATCCTCTCACCACCCGACACCTCTGGCCTGTACCCCAGTTCTTGTATGCATAAATAAATAAATCTTTTTAAAAAACCATTAAAAATCTAATTTTCAGTATTGCTTGCATTCAGAATTCTGCCCTAGGTCAAACACAGGGAAAAGCTTGAAGAACACAGTGGTGTGTCATATCTACAGAAGTGTCATCCTTCAGACACTGCAGAAATTCAAGTGCTAGTGTCAACACTCTTGAAGCACTTGGCATTGACCTTGGCAGTGGTGGAAGGATCTAATTCACACAGAAGATGTGAGAAAGAAAAAGGACACAATCTAAAAGTTGGCACCCAGTCATACCTGAGGCAGAAGGAAAGGATTTTTATGAGGAAGAACAGCATTTTCAGATGATTACTATTACCTCCTCTGTTTATTCCATTAATCTTCCACTGTTTCAGGTTCTTTGTATAGCATACAAATGAGGCCAAAAATAGTTCTATTATTCAAATTTTTCATTAAATTTTGCTTATCTGAATTGCACACAACTGGGAGGAGAATGGAACACATGTAAGGGTACTGTGGTGCAGGAATTGAGGGTAGTCGACACCCTCATAGATAAAGCGTAGTCACTCACTGTTAGATATGTAAAATACTGATCTTCGTATTTCTAAAAAGGGTTCTCAGATACTTGTTTCCCGTCCCTGCTACTTTTTTTAACCAGAGGAATTACAAAATTGTTTTTTATATTAGGGAAAGATTATATTCTGGTTAAGCACCCCCAGAACTGTCACTATCACACACTTACTTTTTACACACACACACACACACCCTTCCCTGCTAAGCCTTTAAATAGGTCAATTATTTATATATATATATTTTTTGAAGGCATAGTATTTTTTTTTTAAAGATTTATTTATTTATTTATATAAGCACTGGGTACAGTCAGAAGCACGGGAGGGTGGCAGAATTCACCAGAGCCAGAGCAGGGAGCAGAACAGGCAGAAGGATCGAGGTACACTGCTGAGGGGAGCAGCGGGCAGCAGGAGAGTTCTGCGCACCATGTGGGACCCTCACCCTGCGGCCGGGGATCGAACTGGCGCTGCAGAGGCTGCGGGCAACTTTGCAGCCCAGCGCTCAACCACTGCACAACCGGGGAGGCCCTGTATATATATATATTTTAAGAATAATAAATACTTATTCAGCACTATCATTTTCAAATGAGGGAAACAACTCAAACTGGTAGCACTGTATTTAGGGGCTAAAACAGTATTTATTATTGAGGTCATCAGCACCCTATCTCTTCATATTTCCTACTTTTTGCTTTCTCTTGGTTTCATTCTTAGGTACTTGCTCTCCAAGTGGTGATGAGATGGATTCCAGCAGCTACTGGCATGCATGGTCCTTAAAGCATGTGATCTCAGAGTCCCCCACTCTCTATTTTCAGTCTCATGGTGGGATACTGACTGGTCCTATTGAATATATTAAACTATCTCAAGTTCATCCACTTGTCTTCAATTCTAGTAGATCTGTTTTATATAAAACTAATAATTATTAGACATTGTTTTAGGTATTAGCATGGTGACATTAAAGTGAAGGCTCATTATCCCTTCCAGCTCCATCCATATTGCTGCAAATGCATGAATTCATCTTTTTGATTGCTGAGTAGTATTCCATTATGTATATATACCACAGCTTTCTTGATCCATTTGTCTATTTTGGGGCATTAGGTTGTTTCCATATGTTGGCTATTATAAATAGTGCTTCAGGGATTATGGTAAGTGAAATAAGTTTGAAGAAAAAGATAAACATAGGATGACTTCATTTAGATGTGGACTATAGAGAAACCGAACAAAAGTTCAAGAAAAAGACAAAACTTGCAAGCTTATCATATATCTGAGGCACACAGTAGGGGGAGGGGAAATAAGGAAGGCTCAAAACGGGTGTGAAGAGCACAAGACTATGGTGATGGTTCATGGGTGCTATGGTGGTGGGAGAACTATGGGGATTATACCTGAGGGGAGTAAACCAATTACTGTATAAAAAATGAACAATAATGAAAGAAAACAAATAAATAAAAAAAACCAACAACAAACAACTGAAGTTCACCCTGAGGTCTAACAGCACAGCCTCTGAGATGAGGCCAACCTCTGGAGAGGTTTTCTCGAATCACTGGATTTACTCTTTGGGATTCCACTCACTTTTTGGGACCAAAAAAAAAAAAAAAAAGAGTTCGGCTAAAAAATCAGTCACAGAAATTTTGTAAACTCAACAATGAAACAAAATTTGTTACCTCCAGGGAGTCACCTTCACAGTCTCCTTCTTCTGTGCTTTTCCCCTTCTCTTCAGTAATGGTGTTCACCATTTCAAAAAACCTACAATGAAAGATGGTAGATGGTCACTAGTAATAATATACATTATTAAATGTATTAATTAATACATAATTAAATGTAAGTGTTGATTCACATGCAATATTAAATGTAAGCAAGTATGTTCCAAAGTAACTTTGGAGCAAAAAATAGAAGCTAAAAGAGTCTCTAAAATCAATGGAATACTATTAAGCTATAAAAAAGATAAAACCTTCCATTTTCAACAACATGGATAGAAGCAGAGGGAATTATACTTGAGGGAAATAAACCAGTCAGAGAAGAAAAACATCACATAATTTCACTTACATGTGATATATAGAGAACACAAACAGAAGAACTACATAAAACAAAAACAAATGTTTGGACTATAATCAATTAGTGGAAGGAAAGGAGATAGGGTGGTGGGTGAACTGGGGAAAGGGTGACAATGGTATGGTGAAGGATAGAGTTGGAATTTTAACAGTAACTGAATATAGTATATGCACGTGTTGATTTTGATGAATACCTCAAACATTAATGTTGTAATGCTACTTTCATAAAAGATAAAATCAAATCAAATCACTCAATAATCAGCATCAGTGAGAAGAATATGACTTGAAAAAATACCATAGGTTGGTAAGATTCTCTAGAAATTTCTGATCAAATGTCTCATTTCAAATAATACATTATAGAATTAGAACAAAGAAGCTAAACAAATTCACTGAAAGGTTATGAATGTAGACTTGGTTATCATGCCAAGATTGTTGGTATTTATGTGATTTGAGGTAAGCTCCTCCACCTCTTTGAATCTCACCCTTAATTATAAAATGGAATATAATTCACTATTGCACAGGTCATTATGAGAAAAACTTGAGCTGATACTTGTAAATTCCTGAGCATAGTGCACTCATAATACATTAGCTAATATTGTTTTGCTGCTGTGAATATTTAAAATGTGACATACCGAAAATACCTATAGTTTGGAATAGAGTTTAAATTCTGAGGTGATTATTTGATACAGTGTTGGCCATTACAGCATCTAATTTCGATTATTAAATCTTCTGCCTGAGTATCTCATATTATACACTCTCATATTATACGAGAGAGATCTCATAAATACAGTCTGTGAGATGCTTATGTGAGCTAGGAATACCTAGAGTATATGTTTGTGACAGAAGTCATCTCTCTCTGAGTGACAAAAGTTTTCTTCAGGAAGTTTTGAAAGGTTTTTAATTTATCTGGAGACCATTTCAGAGCTAAAACAAAATTAAATACAGCAAGAAACAGTATTTCCCCCTGCAACACTAGCTGTGTCTCGCCATCAAGGGCAATGCTAATGATTCACAGAATTAGAATGAGGGAGACCCTGGGGATGGGGGCTGCTGATCTCACAGGCAGGCCACTGCCAGCTCAAGGAAAGAGCAGGTTATGTTCTGACAAGGAAAGTTTATCTACAACTCAGATATTTCATGCTGTCTCAAACCTCTTTCTATCTACACCCCTTTCTATTCACCATTCCATCCACTCATCTTTCCTTCCATCCAACAAATACTCAGTGTCTACTAGAACAAAAACTGTACTGGCTTTTGGGAATATGATAATAAACAAGACAGACAAAATCCATTTTGGAGTTTGAGCCTATCTATTATGGAGTTGGGATGTGTTGTCTGCTTCTTCACTCTTCCTTTCTCTCTACACAATTGTTGGAGGTCAATGACAAGGAAAAAACCCTACTGTAGATTAGAATAACAGTTACGCTCTGATGATGGTTAAGCATCATGATGAGTTAGAGACAAGAGCAAGAGGAAGAAGAAAGTAATTAACCTTAAAAATTCTAGCTTTAAACACAGACTTTAAGATTGGGGTAACGTCTTCTAACATTTTCAACATGAGCATCTCTTCGTAAAATATAACTCAGTGGGATGGAAACATGGTGTAATTTTTTTATGAGGTTGTATTCTGGAGTTACATATGTTTGATTCAAACCACAGATACTATTCTTATGGACTACAAGGGATTATAGACTAATTAAACTCTGCAAAGCTCTCTATTTTTTAACTCTTTCCAATGAGCGTATTAGTATTACCTATATAGAAGGGTTTATTTGAAGATTTAAGTATATATTAATTAAGTCTGAGGTAAGTACTCCGCAAATTTTACTTATAATAAACACAAATCAATAATCTTGTGAATTTAAATGTAATTAAAAAAAGAAGACCATATATGTACTAGGGGGGTTTCTTATTTCCACATCTCTTTACTTGAAAATACTCTCTATTCTTCACATTTTATAAGAATAAAGATAAAACTCTAGCCAAGAATTGTGGATTTAACAAATACCAAGATAAAATTCTGAGATAAAAATTCCAATATATTGTAGTTAGCATTACCAGTCATTTCTAATGGGATCACATAGTGGTAATTTGCATAAGAAAACTCCCGAAAAATATTTTCAGTCCAAACTGACTTTCATCTGCACTTTGGTTTCTAAGTTGTCCCTCAGTTTTCTAGGTCTCCATATCAGGCACTATGGTCAAAGGAACGTGACCTACTTAATTATTACCCCAAGAGATATATACCCAGGAGGTTAACACAAACGTACCATGCAGCCCATAGATGGCTGAATTTTATTGATGGAGACAAGATAACTGGCACTTAACTGAGGCTCGTTTACCCCCCAGTAAATTCAATATAATTAGTCCAGGCAGGGCCTAGACATTATTTAAAAGCCTACCAGTTGATTCCAATATGAACCAGAGTTAAGAACCACTGCTGCAGAGAAAGGTAAGATTATTCAAAAGAATTGAAGAATGAAAATTTTTGATTAACCATACAATAAGTGAGCACTTATAAAATGGGACATAATTTTAGGCATCTAACTGGTAAGTCATGGTTAATGTTCTGCCTGTGGAAAAATAAATTATGACTAAGAAAAAGTTAGATTTATTAAAGAGAGCCCCCCATATTCTGTGACCCTTAAACATACCACGTAATTATAAAATATTAGCTGAAATTAGATATTTATATAACCACAGAGCCATGAATTCTCTACAGGAGCCATATGATCACTCATTAATTAAAAATAATGATCAGGTAAGAACAGTCTTTTACACATAAACAATGACTAATACGTACTTTTTACAATGAAGTTCTGTACAGAAATAGATTTGGAAATCATCAGAATTGTGAAGCACATAAAGGAAACAGCATCGTTCTTCAAATTTAGAAATACTGGAACAAACAACAAAAAAGATTCATTCTAGCAAATACCAATACTTCTACAGATCTGAAAGGAAAAATAAATACTTTTTATATCCAATTCCAATTATGTTTGTCTACAACAAAGTTATAAATAACACTTTAAAAAAGTGATATTCCCCGTACCACATACCAAAGTTATCCAATATTCTGAGAATTGTCCTTCTACTCCTATCAGCAGATGGGCTGCTCTTGGATGTTGTAAGCACATGTCAGCTAACTGTTCCTTCAGACTAGCCTGGGTAAGATGTCCTACCTACAAGAGCAAGGAACTGTGTACTGGAAAGAAAAGCATAAATACCCACTGACTGACTGACTTTGGTGATATTAATTTTATGGGACTTGTAAAACAATGAGAGGTTTCAAAGCTAGGAAGGCAATTGTGGAGATAAGAAAAGCACCTCCTTCATTGTAGAGATTTTAGAGGAAGGAAGAAATATTCATTGCACTTGTTTTGGACTCAGCAAGTGGTTACTGTAGAGCAATGGAAAACAGTTTTGAGTTTACCAGTCAGGCCAGGCTGTTTCATGTCTGAAGTCAGCAAATATTGTCAGTAACAGGCCAGAGAATAAATATTTCAGGCTTTGTAAGTCATACTACTCGGTTTTGGAGTTGGAGCTGCCTGGACAATACACAGATGAATGAATATGGCTGAGTTCCAATAAGACTTCATTTGCAAACACAGGCAATGGGACAGACTTGGCATGAGGGCTGTTGTGTGCCAAGGCCCATTTTATGCCTTTGCATCTGTTGTTTCTTCAATTTGGAATGCATATATTTTGCACTTTTTAAAGACATGCTAGTCATCATGTAAGGTTCAATTCAGGCCTTACCCAATTGCCCTTCCCTACTTTGACTTTACACAGAAAAGACTTCCTGTTGCACCCCTATTCTTTGAACTCACTCCTGTTATTGCTCATCTCACACTGTCGTCATTAGTTGTTAAATGTCTTTTCCTCTGGCAGGTTGTGAGCTCTTCGGGAGTGGAGGTCACATCTTAGTCATTTTTGTATCCTTTCAAAGACTCAACATTTGAGTTGAGCTGGTACTCAACATTTGTCCGTTGACGAAGCTGAGTAAGTTCTGAGCTGATGCAAGACAAATACTGACTTAGTTGAATTTTCTAAGTTTGTCATGTCTTTATAGATGAAGAAGGCAAGAAAAGTTAGCTCTCTTTGAAGAGCTAATTTTATGTAACTCAAGTTTTCCAACATCTAAATCTTCAGCAGCCATGTGGAAGCATTCTATGTATCTGTCATGAATCACAGCAAAGGTTAAGCAGTGATGTCATACCTAATTAAAGAAAATCAATTCACTGGAAAATAGATACAATAAAGTGAAATGGATTGCTTAAAAATATAGCATAAATGAATGTCTTGGTAATGACTGGTCTTAAAAATTAAGTATTGAAAATAAAGCTTTATTTGAGAAGGCATCAATTGGAAAGATACATAAATGAGTCAGCCATAATCTTGCTTACTTTTGTTCAGATCATTCATGAGGTAACAGGTGGCTTTACCAGGCAAACTCCAATTATCAATGACTCAAACAGCTTTACCAGCTCATGCTCCAACAAAACCAAATACTTTTATGCCAAAAAAAAAACAAGGTATTGCATAAGTGGCCTGAAGAAATCTGTACCTTTTCATTGCTATTATATAGTGGATAAACAGTAGCAAACACAACTAGTTTGGTTTGAAGTTTGCAAGAGTTTATTTAGCATGAGTCTCTCTCTAGAGAACAAGAATTTAAACACCTAACCAGTGACTCCTGATTCTGAAAAAAATATTTCTAAATCCCAAGAATTGGTATTTCTTGGCATTACGATGGCAGCATTAGAACTGAAGGGCACTGAAATGAGTCACTGTCATCTCAAGAACACTTCATCAATGGTGACCTTAGGAAAAGCTTTTTAGAAGTGAATTCCCTCTAATCTCACCAAATTAACACCAAGTACAGGATACAGCCTGGTAGATGGCAAGTGTGTTTTGGATCTGTCTATGGAGAGATTAGTTCCTGATTAGTTTCTGGTTCCTAAAGACCAGAAAACCATCCTGTAACATAAAGCAGCTCAACCAGCCCCCACATAGGGGACTCCACATAGCTCAGTTTTATCTACACCAGATAAAGATCTTCATTGACCCTTCAGTCACCATATTTAAAGCAGGTGACAAGCAGAGTCAGTTTGACTAATGGTGACAGTTTTGTGTCAATATTTTCATAACGGAGTTAGTGAGACTGAAGAAATATTTCATCAATATTGCTCAATGTCTACTGAGCACTGCCATCCGTAAAAGCATTCTTAAAGTTCTTTGCATTTTTAAATCATGATTAAAGGTCCTATCCAAGATAGATTCCAAAAAAAAAGTCTTCGAAGTAAACAAACTACCAAGGATTCTTACCTCACTCCCCTGATAGAAGAAGCACTGAAATTCCACTCATGTATACCTTTCTAGAACACAGGGGAAGAACAACAGCAATCAGTGAGTAATCCAAGTGAAAATTAACAAAACAAGATTTTTATTATTTTAAATCACGTACACAGAGTAAATTTTTCCTAGTGCACAACTCTTCATGAACAAATTATCTGAATAAAAACTGCAATTCATTCTCAAGCCACAAGGGTGAAGTTTCTTTGACATAACTATTTCTGTACTTCAATAAAACAACTTCCAAGAAAACCTAGGAGAATCACGCTCATTAAATTTTAAAACCTGATTTATAGCAGATTCATAACTGTGGAGCCTTTGTTTTTTAAGTAAAAAACCCAGTGGTCAAGGTAATTCATTATGATAGTTGAGCATTATTTTTTTCTGAAAAAAAGGAACACCCATTTGATAAAATCCAAGGTTTTCAAGATAATTATTTCTGAATTATCTTTAGTTAGATTTTCTAATGAAAACAGTGGTTCTATTTCTTTGGAAAGTAGCACATCAAGTATGTTTGTATGTGTATGCCAATGCATGTAGTGTTCATGCCTGTAGGTAAAATGTGTTGCTATTTAATTTATGCAAAATTCAATATACTAATAAAATTTAAACATAAAAGTTATCACATGATAAACATGGATTATTTTCAGAGTAAATAAAAAATGTGGGAATTTATTGAGTTTATTATAAAAGCTAAGTTAAACATCAATATTCAGTTCGTATGATTCTAAATTAATTACACAGTGGATTACATTCCCTATAAAAATGTATCTGTCAACCCAGAGTGAATAAAAAATATTTCTGTGGAAACAAAGTACTTGATACATATGTTGCAGTCAATTCAGATTGGCATTCAATTCTGTAAACAACCAGAAAAACAAGCTCTTACCCACCCACTTAAAAGTACTGCCAAAAGGTTGAGGCTTTGACTGGTCTCGTGGAAAAGGTTGTAAAGAAACCTGTGACACCGAGATGGCTAGAACTCTCTATCTGAATGTTCGCTCAGCAAAATTACAATTTACATTTACAGCACCTTTGCTAGGACCAAGAAAGTTAAAAGTGTAATAAATACTCTCAAGTCTGAAGTAGATTTACTAAAACACTAGTTTCAATGCACATCAGTCAGGTCATGGGGATGTTACCCAAATTAACACAGAACAAATGTTGTGTTGGAAGCCTAGTGAAGGAAGAGATCACACAGATTTTGCATGGGATGTGGCTGTCTTAACCAGACTACAGAGGGAGTTAAATTAAAACAGCAGCCTGTCACTTCAGCTGATAATCTGGAAAGTTCCTTCTAAATCCACTGGCTTTAGTGACCTTCTAACATATATGACCCAGGATTTGTAGCTGTTTCCTGCACACACATGCATAAAATGCAGCTGTATTCTCAGAGGCTGTGACTGAGCTACTTTTTGAGGGCATGACCAGGAGCTGGTGACTGAGTTCAGACCTGGAAGGGCAGTGTGCAAACCTGTAGCTGAACACAGCATCTGGCAAACACCAAGATAGCACAGGTAAAGCTATCTTCCATCAACCCTGTCTGGGAGCAGCCAAGGAGAGATTTCCCAGATTAATTGGGATGATTTTGTAGGAAAGAAGTAGAGCATTTCCAGAATGTTAGATTCCTAAAAGGTTGCAAGGATGCCAGGGAACATTCCATTTCAGTGATGTAAAGCCCAGGGCCTGAGATGGAGTGACCTGGAAGAAGGGGCCTTTTCCCCTATCTTCATCACAATGGTACATGCCACATGGAGGCACTAGTGAGGTAACAAGTGAGGTATAAGGTTCCTGGGGCCTGTCTTGGCAAAGCTGGAGTGATGATTAGCCCTCATAGTCTCAAACCAACACTCAAACTAATTCAATGATCACAATTAACATTTTCTAGAAACTGCTTATCCTTAGACTCTGTGCCTTTGCTAGGCCAAGAATAAGGACTTGGAGTTAATACTGAGCAAAGGGACAGGAGTTATAAAGTGGCAGACACTGTTGTTTCCCTAGGCAGGAGGCATGTATGTCCTCACTTCTTTGCTAACGAAAAATGAATTTTGTTCAGGTTTAGGTAGCAATATTAGGGATGGTGAGGCTGATTGGTCTCATTTGGTCATGGAAGGTCCATTTCCCTCACTGGTATTTGGCTGGACATGGACACATGATGCTTCTTTGGATACAAAGGAGAAGGCCTGACCTTTGGAAGCTTCTGTGTGATATGCTTGGAGATCGTATTTCAAACCATGCGAGAAAAACCAAGAGAAGTCAACTGAGACGTCTGTCACTGCTAAGCCACTAAAATCACCACTCCGGAATGACCTCACCTCCAAAATTCTTATAACATTTCCTTACTATTTACGCCACTATTGGTGGGGAGCTTTAGAGAAAAAATGGGTGAGAGTATCTCATCATCAAAATTGAGACTGGGGTACACATATTCCCCTACTGAGTTTCCTGGGTCTCTTCTGAATGGCCATTGGCTGGAGCTGAAGTGAGCACTTAGGGGTGGGAGGGTGGGCAGGACTTACTCTCCACCTGGACCCTACTGATGTCCATCTTTGCTGAGAGCAGCCAGAGAGGCCAGCAGTATGTCAACTTCAAACCCAAAAGGAGGAGAATCCTAAATAACAGCCACTGAAACTGTCTTGCAAAAAAAAGTCTGTCTTCCTCAACCTAGGTTTTTCTTTCACATACACATCAGCCTTTTATCAAGTAGTGAGTTCCCAAGTAGACAGTCCCTAAGTAGAAACTATCTGTTAACCAAAGGAACAATGGTTGAAAGATTATAATTTCAATTAATTTTGCCCCTGTATGTAGAGTAAGTCTCTAAGCATCCCTGAACTCTTGGGAATTGGCATAATGACCTTCAACTTTTTAAAATTGCAAAATAAGGTACATCCTAGGTCATATAATTGTTCATTCCACATTTTATAAAGAAAACAGAGAGGAAGTAAAGAAATAAACATGATAAATGAAAAGCAACACAGTCCGTTGCTCTTTTAAAAAAAATTCAAAACATTCTATGACAAAAACAATCCATTTCCTGTTGACATAAGACTTATTAAACCTGTTGCTTATCTGTTCATTAATTATAGTTATTACAGTTGCTTTAAACTAATGTGACAACAGTTATTTTTATTGTTTGCTGATATTCCAACTGTCTCACTTCTATTTTTTTTAAGATTTATTTATTTATGCATACAAAAACTGGGGTACAGGCCAGAGGTTTGGGGAGTGAGAGGATTCACCAGAGACAGAATGGGGAACACAACAGGAAGACTGACTGAAATACACTGCTGAGGGGAGCAGCAGGCGAGTCAGGAGAGGTCTACTGCACCATGTGGGTAGCTCCCTCACCAGGGATCGAACACGTGCTGCAGTGGCTGCAAATAGCTTCATAGGTTGTGTCTTAACCCCTTGCACCACCAGGGAGACCCTGTCTCACTTTATTTTAACAAACAGACACAATAAATGACAGTGGTAATGAATATATTACAGCTAGAACTAGGATTCACAAAGAAAATCATATAAATTCAAAATGGAAAGTGATTGATTTAAAAGAGCTTGAATTTTGAACAAGGAGAATTTTTACCACCACAGAAAGGCAACAGGGACTGGGGATAATATAGAGGTAATTCTTTTGATTAAAAGATGGTAAAAAATGGAAGGTGGACAATTCACAGCCTAAATCTATAAACCTTAATACACTTGTTTCTATCATAGTGTATTTATTTCTTAGCATAATATTAAAAAGAAAACTCTACAATTATATTCTCATAAGAGAATCAATATTCTTAGTTCTTGAACTAAGAACCTCCAGAAAGGGGAAAATAATGACAACTAGCTGGAAATGATGCTCATTTTCCAAAAATCTCTGGCTTACTTTCCATGCTTTTTCTGTCTTCCACAAACTTCTGGCTCTCTCCACTCAATCTTCAGGCCTTGTTAATCGCTAATTCCTTTAGCCCCATTCTGCTTCCAAGTGTCCTTGCATAACCTTGCTCTTTTCAACCAAGCCTCTGAAAATTTGCTCTCCTAGACAATAATGCGCATGTCTCCTAACTTCTTTTTAGTTTTTGTAATTTCAACTGAATGACTACTCCAATTCTGCTTGGAAAATATGTATGAGTATACTTTAAAATAATGTAAAAGTGAGAAAAAGCCAAAGGAAATGTCTTAATTTTTTTTGAAAGACTTGTTACAGACTGACCTAACTGTATCTTGTGTAAGAAAATTAGAAAACTGGGCCTCCCTGGTGGCTCAGCGGTTGAGTGCAGCACTATGAGCTGTTGGCAGCCTCTGCAGCGCTGGTTCGATCCCGGCCAGTGGGCGAGGGTCCCACATGGCGCAGCAGACCTCTCCCGTCTCGCCCGCTGCTCCCCTCAGCAGCGTATTTCAGTCATTCTGCCTGTTCCCCCACTCTGTCTCTCGTGAATCCTCTCATCCTCCTGTGCATCTGGCCTGTATCCCGGCTCTTGTATAAATAAAACAAATCTTTAAAAAAAAGAAAAGAAAATTAGAAAACACTAGACTTTTCTTTGAAAAGTTTTAATAGAATCTCCAGACCCTCAATTCATTTCTCTCTCAACACAAGGTGGGGGATGGGGCAACTTTCCATTTTTTGTGATTTTTTTTATAAGAGTCAAAGAAAATGACTAGGTTATGAGGGAAGGGTATGAAAAATAAATCTTTAATAAGTATTTATAGCAAATAAAATAATGTAAATTAAACAGTGTGCACTTTGAGACAATGCTAACAACATATATAGATACTTACAAAGTAACAAAACATATATGATTGATTTCTGCTCTTGGTTCCAGGCACAGGGCTTCTGAAATTCTTGTAATGCCCTAAGTGATACGAGCACTAGGACCATCTCTTGTTCTAATAATCGTCACTCCACCATCCCTGATGTAGAGCTCCTAAAATTCTTGTAAATTCCTAAGTGACAAAAGCGCTAGTTGATGTCGTTTGGGAGAGGTGTTTGGTTCATATTAACACGGTCTCTGGGTTTCCTCTGAGCAAAGTTTCACCAGAGTTCCCCTTTCAATGGTACGTGGAAAGTTTACCCAAAAGACAAAGACATTTGCACAGACACAGGCAGACACAGGTTACAGTTTAAAAGGACAGGTTTATTAGAAAAAGGAGAAAGAAAAAGCGAGGCACCTGTATAGTTAGAGGCAGGCAGGAGAGCTGCCTCTTGCCAGTGCAGACATTGCTCTAATATAGTCTTTTTGGGAGGGGCTCACTCCCTTGTGGAACTGTCATCTATTGTTACATTAATTACTCCTAGGGTGTGACTAAGTTGATTTGCAAGGACTGTTGATTCTCTACAATGGCCCTCCATTTCCATCTCTGGTCTGCATCTCTGGACACTTCCTACAGTAGTCTGATACTTGCTGTAGCAGTTGGCACCTACAGATTTTTCTTTTCTATAGCTGATTTAATGATTATGTTAATCATTTCTACCCCCTCCTCCAGTTTCTGGACTTGTGATGCCTCCATGCTAAAGTTTCTACTCAGGCTTCATCACTAGGGCTAACATTTGTTCTACTGAGGCAACTCCAGATGGGCTCCTGCATGAGGACTTATCACCAGATAGACCAAACCATGATTAGGAGTTTGGAATTTTCAGCCCTGCTTGCCCCTCCTCCCAATTTTGCAGAGAAGGGGAAAGGCCTGGGGGTTGAGTAATAATTGATCCCACTTCTTGTGAAGAAGATGCCATAAAATCCCAACAACAGGGGGTTCAGAGCATTTCCAGGCTGGTGAACATATAAGCAAGAGGGTGAATCACCCCAACTCCACAGGGACAGAAGCTTCTGTGCCTGAAATCCTCACATACTTTGCTCTATGTATCTCTTCATCTCACTGTTAACCTGAATCCTTTGTCACCTCTGTTAATAAACTGGTAAACATGTTTCCCTAAGTTCTCTGAGCTGCTCTAGCAAATTATTTAAAACCTAGAAGGGGATCCCTGGAGTCTCTGATCTATAGGAGGTTGGTTAGAAGCACAGGTGACAACCTGGGCTTTCAATGGGCTGCTAAAATGGCGGTGGGTAGAAGTGGGTGTCTTGTGGGACAGAGCCCTGAATCTGTGGGATCTGATGCTATCAGTGGGTAGATAGTGTCATAATTGTGTTAAATTGTAGGCTACCCCATGTTGTTGCAAAGAACTGCTTGTTGTGACAAAAATCTCCACACATTTGGGGACCAGAAGTGTCAGAAGCAAAGTGTTCTGTGTGAAAGTAAAGGGAATATATGAGAGGAGGAAAACTGAGGTTTTCCCTTCACCAGAGCTACATAATTTATTCTGAATTTTGTCTCTGGATAATTCCACGTGGAGTCGCGCCATACTGGCTGTAGATTGGAGGCCCCAACCACTCCCTGAGGCTGATGAATTTACTAGAGCAGCTCACACTACTCAGGCAAACATTTTACTTACTAAATTGCCAGTTTATTATAAAAGTTTGTAATTCAGGAACAGCCAGATGGAAGAGGTACAGAAGACAAAGTATGAAGCCAGGGGTTTTTCCAGAGGCTTCATTATATAGGCAGGATTAATTAAATTAATCATGGCTATGACTGGCGATGGGTTCAACCTCCAGCCGTTTTCCCTTTCCCAGAAGTCAGAGTATGGGACTGAAAGTTCCAACCTTCTAATTACCTGTAGAGCCCCGTGCCAGCCAGTCCCCATCCCTAGGTAGGTTCCCCAAATCACCTCATTACTATAACAAAAAATACCTTCATGACTCTCAATATTTAGAAAATTCCAAGGGTTTAGAAACTTGGTGAGAAATAGGGTTGAAGACCAAATATTTATTTCTTACTATAAATCACAACACCACTGGGCCCTAATACAACGCCAATGGCCTTCTAAATGATTGCTGCCACGCCATCTAAAGAACTTACCATGGTTAAATTCTGGGGGGTTAAGGTTAGCATTAGTCTACAAGTGTATACTGCTGTGATTTTATTATTGCTGTTAAAATACATTGAGCATTTATTATGTGCCAGGTTCTATACAGTGAATACACTACCTATGTTATTTCATATTTAGCTTTCACAAGCTTTTGTTTTTTTTTTAAAGATTTATTTATTTATTTATACAAGCACTGGGTACAGTCAGAAGCGCGGGAGGGTGAGAGAATTCACCAGAGCCAGAGCGGGGAGCAGAGCAGGCAGAAGGACCGAAGTACACTGCTGAGGGGAGCAGCGGGTGGCAGGAGAGGTCTGCGCGCCATGTGGGACCCTCCTCCTGTGGCCGGGGAGCAGCCAGGGATCGAACCGGCGCCGCAGAGGCCGCGGGCAGCTTCGCAACCCAGCGCTCAACCGCTGCGCCACCGGGGAGGCCCTCACAAGCTTTTGAAGTAGATATTATTATGATCCCATTCTACAGATGAGGATGCTGCAGCTTGAAGAAGCTGTGTTGTGAAAGGGCAGTGGTAGCAACTGAACCCATGTCTATTAACTCAAAAGTCTATATTTTTAAAAACTTCAACTCCTAACCCCAAATGTATTTCCCAATTCCTTTCTCCTTCATTTCCCCCATCTCATCATTTTAATATATGTATCTATTTTATTTATCTATCTGCCTCCCCAAGTATAAGGTAAGCAGCAGATGGACACACATCTGATTTTGCACGTATTTCTTTGGTCATTAACACAGTGCCAAGGAATACCTGCCCCAGAAGATGTACCCAGTTAATATTTGTTGATATTTTGTTCATGTGGATGATGTTCAAGGAAAATTATAAGGGTATGTAGGAAAACAAAGCCAAAACAAACAAACAAAAAAATAAGAAAATATCACCAAAACTACTTTGCATCAAGACTTGTCTCATTCTGTTGTTTATCCTGTGGACTCAGGTCTGAAAAGTTTCAGTTTTTTTTAAGTGCTAGGATGTTTTACACATGCATTAAACTGATAAAATACAGAGTGGAAAGAGTTCTCTCCATTCCTGCCATGAGTAGAAAGGAGAACACTGAAAATCCTTCTGAAAACCAGTGGCAGTGTAGGCCCCTCAGCTTGAGCCCAGCACTCAGAGCTAGTGGCTAATCCAAGTGGCTAATCCAAGCTAATGGCTATTTAAATAAACAGCTAGATGTAATAACTATGATCATACCAGGGTAATGCTGGAAGTAGCATTATTCCTCCAGGCTTCCTAGAATTAAGATGTGCATCTTTTAAATCATGTATTTTAAGTATTGGCTCTTTGGCACATAATTTAATTTATAGTATGAATTTACAAACAGAGAAATATTGCAATTTTGAGTGCACACTGGATGGTTATGCCATCTACAATAAAAATCCAAACAGTTCAATTATATTTAATTAAATGAGTGAAATCCTTAATTCAAATTTAATGGAGTTTATACTGCAGAGTATAACTCTGATAAGGTAAGTACATACTCTTCTTAACTGATGCAGATATTTGCTGGAAAAAATAAATGCAGGCAGAGTGTTTAGTCGTTCATCATTAGTGCCCGTGTCTTAATAACTGCACAATTTACCTTGTCATCAGGAAGCACATGCCAAATAGATATTGTCTTTTCCTCAACTTCATTGTTGATAGACAAGTATGAAGGCTGATAGATTTTGGTTGGTTCTAATATTAACACCTTGAAAACATAAGACAGATAAATGAGCATTAGTGATTTAAGTTTCAAACCATTTATAGCATCTATAACAGCACAGTACTTCTACAGGAGATTATGGGATGATACTCTGGATTCATGGCTGGAATAAAGCATTTACAATTCTGGCTGTTGCCATTCTTAAGAATTCTTTGAGCATTTTATGATATTATATAATTACCAGAAGTTCCAATAGTACATTACCTTTTACTGCTTAAGAAACTGAAAATGTATTTTTGAAGTCCATATATTGGTTTAGGTATCCCCAGGGGATTTACCAATAGTAAAGCTTTCATTTTATTTTGGAAGCAATACATAATCTACTTCGATAAATATGAAAAGAAAGGGAGAGACATGGTAAAACAAATAGTTCTATTAACACAAATAAGAAAAGATACCATATAAAGAATACCACATACACACTTTAGGTTTTCTGCTGCCACACTTCACTATAAAAATGTAATGGGATGATTTTCATGCCCATGCAAATGGATTGAAAAGTGATTTGTTTATGGAAAGTTTTATATATAAACCAAAGGAATTGACAAAGTTCTATAAAATAATAAAAATGTTTTTGCACAGTTGTCAAGATAAAATGGTATATTCAAAAATGATATATATAGCCTTGTGAATAGAAAAGGAGAGAAATAAAACTTGCTCTGCTTTGGAGGTGTAAGAGGGGTATATGATGAGTTGAGAATCTCTATCAAAGGACTGTAAGATGTGTTATGTTATTACTAATGACTCATTTTTTGAGTGAATAACATTACGTTATCACACATGCCTTGATTTCAGAGGTGCTGCAACTATTTGTCCAGTTGCTGAAAGATCCCTAACTAACTCAAATTTTCCATGCAGATTTAAGTAGGAATGTTTAAAAGGAAAAGTTAATACTTAAGTATCAGAAAAACTGAAATAGTGCTTTCTACTCTACTGCTCAAAATTCAAGAAAATTGTTTTTTATTTTTTTTTTTTTTTAACATTATACAAACATTTATTTATATAAAATAAATCATAAAATGTTTAGGTATAATACTGATTATGTTCTTTTTTTTTTTTTTTTTTTTTTTTTATAAATTTTATTGTTATATTCCCCATACAATTGCCGCCCCCCATTCTGACCCCAATCCCTCCCCTCCCGCCCCCGCCCCCCTAAAAGTGTCTCTGGTTCATAGTTTTTTGTTGATTTTGATTTTCACTTTCTTATAGTTTTTCATTTTCCTGGTCCATTATTTAAGTTTTCTAGATTCCTGCTATGAGTGAGACCATCCGGTATTTTTCTTTTTCTTTTTGGCTTATTTCGCTGAGCATGATCCCTTCCAGCGCCATCCATGTTGCAGCAAATTGCATGTGTTTATCTTTTTTGAATGCTGAGTAATATTCCATGGTATATATGTACCACATCTTCTTGATCCAGTCATCTATTTTTGGGCATTTGGGTTGTTTCCAAAGCTTAGCTATTGTAAACAGTGCTGCTATAAACATAGGGGTGCAGGTGTTCTTTGGAATTGATGTTTCTGTGTCCTTTGGGTAAATACCTAGGAGTGGAATTGCTGGGTCATATGGAAGCTCTATGTTTAGTAGGTCCAGAAATCTCCACACAGCTTTCCACAGTGGTTGGACCAGTTTGCACTCCCACCAACAGTGCAGAAGAGTTCCTTTTTCTCCACACCCTCGCCAACATTTGTTGTTGCTAGTTTTTTTAATATGTGCCATTCTCACTGGTGTAAGATGGTATCTCATGGTAGTTTTGATTTGCATTTCCCTGATGACAAGTGATGTTGAACATTTTTTCATATGCCTGTTGGCCATTTGCATTTCCTCTTCAGAGAAGTTTCTTTTAAGCTCTTCTGCCCATTTTTTGACTGGATTATTTTCTTTGTTGTTGTTGAGTCTCATCAGCTCTTTGCAGATTTTTGTGATCAGTCCTTTATCATTAGTGTTGGGTGCAAAAATGTTCTCCCAGTTGGTGGGGTTTCTCTTTGTTTTTGTTATTGTCTCTTTTGCTGTGCAAAAGCTCTTTAATTTGATATAGTCCCAGCTGTTTATCTTTGCCTTCACTATCACTGCTTTGGGTGATGTGTCTGTAAAGATGTCTTTGATGTGCAAATCACGTAGTGTTTCGCCTATAAGTTTTTTAAAACTAATGTCGTATCAAGCAAGTTTACCAAACAAAAGTGGAGGAGGGGAAAAAAAAAACCTCTTTCAGAAAGCGCCATCAACCAACAATTATACGTTCACACTACCTTAGAACCTAGATTGCAGCTTGAGCAAGAATGTGGGTTATAAACTCACTCTTGGCCATTTATTATACCCAATGTATTTATTTTATGCTTAATTTATAGTAACAGTAAACTTATTTAAGCTAAAGCACAGAAAATGAAGTTAAACTTAGAAAAGCAAAGTGTACTCTTGATTAGAAAGAAGTTATGAGCTTACAGAATTCTGGTCAGGTTCTAGCTATAAAAGTAAGATAGAATATACTACAAATATATGGTGAAAGAGCCCGCACAGAAACACACTCTGATTCAGGGACAGACCAGGTGAATCAAGTCTAAATTCCAACCAAGAGAGAGTTAAATACAGATTAACAATGAAAGTCAGTTTTTGATCTAAACTTGTAGAAACGGAGCTCTCAAATCTGAGTCTCCAGTGTTTGTATAATTAAAATGAGTAATTGGGAAGAAAAAGTGAGCTTCCCAAATAGCACCAAGTCACAGCACCAGGTTATCTCTCTTAAATTATGTCTTTATCCCAAATATTTCTCCAAAATATTTCCAACAGATAAAATCTGAGCTTTGTTTTCCCATCAGACCATTGCAGTTACCACTGTCTGATGGTTGCGGAGCTCTATGACATGTCCTTGAAATGACAAAAATGTGAGGAATTTGTAGCATGCCTTATGGAAGGCCCAGAGAGACAGAGAAAGGACAAGGAAAAGGAGGCCATTTGAAGATAACCAGCTAGATATAACTCACTTGAAAGTATACATATTCTTGCTTTTAGTTCCCAGTCTTTTACTTTCTGCCAAGTCCACAATACTTGATCTCCACTTTATCATCTCCTACTTTTCAAAGTAGAAAGGAAAGGAAATGTACACAGGAGAGATGAGGAAAAGGAATAAACCAAACTGAACTCAAATAATAATAGATAGGACCACTCAAGTAATTTCCCAAAGAAATTTCTATCTGCTTTCTTTTGCTTAGGATCATAGCTGTTTCTTGGAGGAATAAGAATGAATTTGGTGCTGAGATAAATGGAAGTAATCATATAAAATTTTTTCTAAGTCATTCTGGTTTTAGTGACAGCTACTCTTAAAGAAGGGTAACTTTATTACCCTAATCAAGACCTACTGCAGTTTTCATAAGGTTGAGTCATGTATGAAGCTACCCTAGGACAAACTAAGTTTGTGACCAACACCACCACAAGTTCGAGAAGCCTGTCTTTCTCTATGTGGGTGTAGCCTGGTAGCAAATTCCCTGATTTCTGGGTATGGGCCTGCTGGAACAGGTAAATGAGTGGGTCAGGATGGATGAGACTCTAATCACCATTTAAAATGGCAGCAGCTAGTGGGCTCAGTAGATTGTTGCATTTGAGAACTAAAGTCACAAGTTGCAAATCCCAATTTTCCTAGGGCAAATGAAAATCTCCATTTTTGTATGAACTCTTCTTATTTACCACTTGGCATTTTAATAAACTTTATTTTTCAGTTGAAATAATTTACTGTTTCATCCATTGTCTATCCCTTCCTCTATTTTCTTTAAATAGCAATCTTCAATATTTGAAGTCCTTACTGGTAACTCCAATATGGAAATCATCTCTGGGTCTGCCTCTATTAGCTATTCTAGATCTTCATCCTGATCCTATCAAGGCTTAATTTTATTCAGGCTTTGGCCTGATGGTCAGGATGGGTCTATTTCAGTTTTGTCCTTACTCCTTACTCTTTGTTTCTAAATGCTTGCAGTGTTCACCAAGGTCTTGTCACTAAGCTGGACCCAAAGTCCAACATCTTATCCTTGCATTGTTTAAGATCTGAAATTTCTGTTTAGCTCTCAGCTTTCCAAAAATTGCTCTCTGATATTTCTGGTCGGGATGTGAATAGCAAGGGAATTTAAACCACACGGATTCCAAACAAAACCCAATTTTAGTCAAATACTGGGACCTCTAGTTGTGTTTTTTCATGATATGCTGCTCTTACTACCTGGGAGCTGCCCTAGAACTCAAGGGAAATACCCATGCAGGATCCTGGGATTCATTCTTAGGACTCCCCCTTCTCCGATACCCTTCCCTTCATATTCCAGCTGCCTTCGAATTCCAAACACTGATCCCTGCTTGCTCTGGCAGCAAGAATGCCACTGCGTGGTAGGGCTCCATGCCCTTGGGCTGAACGCAGTAAATGAGCACATGAGTGGTGAGTAATGGGTGGGTGAAGGTGGTACTCAAATCAAGTACCTCCCTTCTAAGGGTTGTAGTCCTGTGATGACTGGTACTAATATCTGCACAGTTGCTTTATATGACTTTTCCAGGTTTCATAGTTATTAAAGCAATACCAATATCATTCACATAGTACTGAAAGTCTAATTCTCTTTTTTTTTTAGACTTTGACTATGATTTTTTTAAAATCACTGAGTAGTCTTTTCAACATTACAATTTAATCATATGCACCTCATACACAATAAGAAAAACATTAATTACAATTATCCCATTAAAAAATCATACCATTTTTTAATCTATAAAGTTTAGTAAAAGTACAAGTCTCATTTGGAGAGATTTAGGGAAGCAGTCAATTGCTAGTGTAAATATGAATGCCTCTAATTCCTAAAAGCATTGTAAGGACTATGATTCCATTTCACTTTGGAGATAAATTTCAGGTAGATTTGGACATGTGCAAAAAATGGTATAAGTACAGGGTTATTCAATGTGGCATTATTTATAATAACAAATTAATGGTCATAAACTAAATGGCTATACTTTAAGTTAAATGAATTGTTAAATTGTATAATTTGCTTAATGAAATGAGTTAGGCAATTTATGTGCACTTGTAAAACTATGGAATTGTAAATACCATGAAATCAGATCATTAAATAGTTAAAAAAAAAAAGAATGAATTCTACATAATGACTGGAAAAACCTTTATGATATACTGCTGAGTCAAAGAAAAAGCAAGACATGAAACATTATATATAATATCTTTTTGTACCAAAAAAGAAAAATAATTATAGTGTATTTTTGTGTGGACTATATGCCAGATACCATTCTAATAGTTTTAAACATAGTAACTCATTTAAACCTAATCATACCCTATAAGGTTGGTGCTAGTATTATTGTCTGATTTTGCAGATAAAGGAACTGAAGTTTAGCAAAGTTAAGCAGCTTGCTCAAGGAAGCACAACCAGCAAGGAGCAGAATGGGACATAAATCACACAGACTAGCTCTAAATTCAGTATATCATCTGGACTCTCCACCAGCTGAATTCACATACAAAGAAACTATGAGAAAATATGTAAGAAAAAATAATAATGGTTTCCTGGGGAGAGTGATGGAGAGATGTGGGACAGTGGTGGGAGATTTTTCCTATGCGTCTTTTACTATTTTTTTTTTTAAATTTTCAAACTTCGGAACTGTGTTACCCCATGGGAAAATTCAATTATACTTGCAAAATGAATATAAAACAAGACATTTTTCAGTTCAAATAAAATGAACTGTAGGCTGAATTTTCCTCATGAGAGAAGTTTGCAACCTCCATGCCAGAGCCCTAAGGTCTCCAGTGTCTCAGAGGGGATTTCTGTGTTCTTTATGGGGGTGGCAAGTTACATGTCTTAGCGCGTCTTTAGCAGGGACTGCTTCATTGTTCATTATTCTGAGTATAAAAAGTTTCAGAGCCTATGTTCTCTGGATGTCATTCTCAAATTTAAGGAAGGACACAGAGAGGTATAGAAAGTGGGTTTATCTTTCATATCTATATGAGTAGTTCAGTTTGAAAGCTATAAATACATATCACAATCACTTTGAATAAATATTAGCATAGGGCCCAGTATTTGACTAACTCTGGGTTTTCTTATGAAACCTATATGACTGAAATTAAACTTTATTGAGGTATAAATCCCTTGTTAGTTAGGGGATCAGTATCAGCAGTGGTGGCTATTCTTTTTTTTTTTTTTTAAAGATTTATTTATTTATACATACAAGAACTAGGGTATAGGCCAGAGTTTTGGGGGGTGAGAGGATTCACCAGAGACAGAGCGGGGAACAGAACAGACAGATCAACAGAAACACACTGCTGAGGGGAGCAGCAGACAAGTCAGGAGAGGTCCGCTGCGCCATATGGGGCACCTCCCTGCTGGGGATTGAACTTGTGCTGTGGTGGCTGTGGTGAGCTTCATAGGTTGCTTCTTAACCCTTGCACCACCATGGAGACCCCTGAGGTGGCAATTCTTTATCCAAAACTTGGTATCATTTTTCCACTATACTATCATCTATACTGAGATTTTTTTTAATGCTCCATATCGTTTTCATTATTTTTTAAAGCAATCATTTTTTAGTTTCTGCATTTTTTTTAACCTTTCTTTATCAAACATGTAAATACAAGAAAATATTTCAAAGGGTACTCTGAAAGCAACTGCCACTGACTTTGCAACTTCTTGGTAGACTTATATTTGAATTAGGGTAGTTAGATTTTCTGAAATTAACACAAAATGAAGTAATATATAAGAAAACCCAACTTTCTTCTTTTAGACCAAAAAGAGCTAGAACACTGTACAATTTTGCATTCTGATTTACAGCAAACCACAAGAAAATAACTTGAGTATTTTACCATAGCTATGGATGCTGACTGAGGAGTAGTATTTACAGATCAGTAGGAAAACACGCATTTTCACAAAAAGATACTCATAAAATAAGTCACAAAGTTCTAAGAAGGAAATGGATAGCTTGGAAAACAAACAGTATAGCATAAATATGTTTGCAAGATGATAACTATAGATCTCATTCAATTTTATTAATAGTTGCATGATATTCTAAGGTGGCTATACTATTATTAGCTGAATCATTCCCTCATGAGTAAACACTGATTGTTAGTATTTGCTTCTATACTAAGGCACCAATGAATAGTGGTGTTTTGTTTCTGTAGAATAAATTCATTCCTATAAATAGGATTGTTAGTCAAATACATATTTTTTCAGTTTTACTAAATGCTGCCAGATTATTTTCTTAGTGTTCCTTTTAAAATGAAAATATACAGAATAATCTAAAAACTACATGCCTACTCCCCACAGATAACAAAGTATTAATATATTGCCATATTTGCTTTAGAACTTCTTTCAAATAAGGGAAATGTTGCAAATAAAGCTGAAGTCCCCATGGTGCCTTATACAATTCCCTTGTCCCGCTACCAAGACGATGTCCCAGAAGATTTAGCAATGCCCAGGCATACTGACAACCTCTAAAAATGCCCATGACCCTACACCTTTGCCAGGAGTTATAAAACTTAAATTTTTAGTCAAATGTGAAAAAGATTGGACTCATATTACTCATATTATCTTACATTTTCTTGACAATCCAGGGAAGTCAATTATCTTTCAAGTGTTCTGCCCATTTTTTTTTTCACTTACCAATTTGTAAGGGTCTTTTTTGTATATTAGGCAAGTTGATAATTTCATAGCATTTGTATCAAATATTCTGCCTAGCAGTTGCCATATTTAAGGTGTTTTTTACTAAAAAAAATTTGAATTTTGAAATGAAATCAAATGGGTAAATATTTGCCATTAGGGATTATAGGTCCTTTCTTGCATAATAAAGCCACTCTCTCTGGGAGTATATACCTAGGCTGTTCTAACATCTCTCTTAATATTTTCTAATTTTTTTATATTTACTTATTTTCATTATGATAGCATAATTAATCATAAATGAATTTAAATGAACTCAAAATAGCCAATAGGAGTGATTTCCTTATAGCTAGTTTTCCAGTTAATCAAGTCAATAGCCAATTAACTGATTCAGTTCTGAGCTGCACTTTCTTTCACCAGCATATTTATTACATGCAGAGCACCAGCTAAAGGCAGTTGCCAGCTCATTCTAAGTATTTTCCTAGGCTACACATTATCCAAGCTAGAAAATAAAGTGAAGTGTTTAGTTTGAAAGGCTTTTCAACTAAAGATCCTGCTGAGCTCAAGGCTTCATGTGGAAACAAGAGTAAAGACAGTATGTTAATGCCAGCAAGTGGATTTATTTAAATGAAACAGATGATCCTATCAACAATATCTAGAAAACAAGATCTTATAAAAGGAATTGAGAAGTGTCACTAGTTCTGCATATAGAAGATTGAGATCAGAGAACCTCGAGAGAATTATGGCATCATTTTAGAATGTGGGAAGAGATTTGCGTAATGTTGAGTTGCCAGTAATTCTTGAATTGAATGCCAAAGCTATACTGCTTTGCATGGGATTCTGATCACTATCAGGATGGCACCAGCTTCAACAAGCAAAGTATTTTTAAAAGTGTGTGTGTGTGTGTGTGTGTGTGTGTGTATGCTGACAGAGACTAGCCGAAATGAACTCCACACAGAATCTAAGAGTTCCATGACTAAAGCATTGCAATAGTGGTTGGAGGGACTAAATCTAACTCTGACCCACAAGGTCTGCAACTAGAGACAGAATAACAAAAACGTGGGTGAACCTAAAGCTTTTCACCACAATAATGGTGATGCTATTAATGACAATATCCACAAACTGATACATGAATTAAAATGCACCCATCTGTCTGGTCTGAAGACGTATCTTGACTTACTGAATAAATTAAGAGATGGTCTTTTCTTGAAAAAGTACACATCACAGCTTATATAAAAAACACCCAAAGTCCATGGCAGAAACAGAAATGGATCTCCTTTTTCTGGTTTTGAGAAGCTACTTTACAAAGTAAACTAAAGCAAACTCATTTGCGGAAAATATGTTAACCAGAGGACTATCATTTTAGGGCATGAAAATCAGCACATTAGTATGGTTCCAACACCATCAGAGATGCTCTTTGAGTAAAAGAAACCAAATAGAAATGTACTCAGAGCTAAGTCAAATGAAGGGCACTCACTGGAAACCTAACCACAGTAACATCCGTCTTGGTGGCCTCAACCAGGAAGTCCATCCAGAAGTCCACTAGCTCCTGTTTGGCCATGGGTTGTTCTGCAGTCAGTTTCACAAAATGCTTATATATCAAAATTGTCTCCACAATAGACTTGAGGTACCTAAAATTAAAAACATATAATATAAATAAAATATAAAATACATACAGGCAAGTTTAGTACTACCTGTTCTCATGCACTCCGGTTTTATTAAAAGCAACTTAAATATGGCATCAAGTACACATTCAGATTCACTAAACCTTATTCATTATGTTACATCATATACTGTCACACATGTCACCTTTTAAATCTCACCAAAATAAACTCTTCTGCACTGTTGATGGGAGTGCAAACTGGTCCAACCACTATGGAGAGCTGTGTGGAGATTTCTGGACCTACTAAACATAGAGCTTCCATATGATCCAGCAATTCCACTCCTAGGTATTTACCCAAAGGACACAGAAACATCAATTCCAAAGAGCACCTGCACCCCTATGTTTATAGCAGCACTATTTACAATAGCTAAGCTTTGGAAACAACCCAAATGCCCAAAAATAGATGACTGGATCAAGAAGATGTGGTACATATATACCATGGAATATTACTCAGCATTCAAAAAAGATAAACACATGCAATTTGCAGCAACATGGATGGTGCTGGAAGGGATCATGCTCAGCGAAATAAACCAGAAAGAAAAAGAAAAATACCGGATGGTCTCACTCATAGCAGGAATCTAGAAAACTTAAATAAGGGACCAGGAAAATGAATAACTATAAGAAAGTGAAAATCAAAATCAACAAAAAACTATGAACCAGAGACACTCTATGGGGAGTAGGGGGCGGGAGGGGAGGGATTGGGGTCAAAATAAGGGGGTTGCAATTGTATGGGGAATATAAAAATAAAATTTATTATTAAAAAAAAAAATCTCACCGAAATAAAGTAAGCTGTCATGTCCACTTTAAAGATGAAAAAACTGAGGAATGAAGGAACCTGAACTGGGTGATACATCTATTTGAAACATGACTTTTATAATAATGCCTATATTCTATCCAAGGAAGTGCCTAATGAATCTGTTTTTATATATACCTCCATGAGAAAGTTTTTCTAAATATTAGACTCTGCATAAGAACATTATTTTGCTCTGAAGCAACACAGCATATATAGTCTACAAATATCCTCCAATCTGGTAGGACAGATGATGCCTCAAAGAAAAAGATAGGAAAAAATGAAAAGCAAGATTATTAAACAAGGAAATGTGTGTGCAAGTACTTTGGAAGCCATCAGAAGGTCACAATAACTTAGTGGAACTTAAGACATTGTTTCGTGGGTGTTACTACTAGTGCATAGAATGATGTCTGTTTTCTTGTTCATAGAAGACAGGACATCTAAAACCAAAGCTCTTTGTATCTCTGCTTCATCTCCTCCTCTCTCATCAGAACGGTCAATCATAAAGAAATAGCAAATGTGGCTTCATGCGATGCTGCAGCTATTGGTTTAAAGTTCATGTCACTTGTGGAATGCTTTTAGGGACAAAGTTCTGACAGGACAGTCCTGTTGTCAAGTTGTTCACAGTGCCAAGGAGACAGAAATGTATAAGGTATTATAACCCATGAAATAAATATCAGTGGTGCTATCACTAAGCAGATGATTAAAAAAAGTCATACATCTGGGGACTATAACCAAGATGAAAAAAGTGTAAAAATGAAAAATGATGTAAAAAATATATAAAATTAAAAAAAAAAAGAATTTGGGCCTCCCCGGTGGCGCAGCGGTTGAGTGCTGGGTTGCAAAGCTGCCCGCGGCCTCTGCTGTGCCGGTTCGATCCCCGGCTGCTCCCCGGCCACCGAAGGAGGGTCCCACATGGCACGCAGACCTCTCCTGCCGCCCGCTGCTCCCCTCAGCAGCGTACTTCGGTCCTTCTGCCTGCTCTGCTCCCCGCTCTGGCTCTGGTGAATTCTCTCACCCTCCCGCGCTTCAGACTGTACCCAGTGCTTGTATAAACAAAACAAACAAATAAATTATAAATAAATAAATAAATAAATATGCCTCTAAAAAAAAAAAAAAAGAATTTGAACACCTCCCCCCCGCCCCCCCAAAAAAAGTCATATGTCAATCCCAATAGAGAGATGGCTGAGGAATCCCAGAAACATGAAGAAGACATGTTCATAGGATGAAAAGAACACACTGATGTGTTACATGCAACAATATCCATGATGTTCTAACTGGGTGTGGGGAGGGGTTTAAGAGCAGTGTCTGATTTATGAACAGATGTGATTCAGGGGTGTTTCCCAGATGGAAAGACAGATAAGAGCGCTAGATGGGGCATTCTCAGCACATGCTAAGACAGACACAAGAAGCTGTTGCATGGCATGTGAGATATGAATAGAGAGAAGAGCAAACCCAGGAACTGACAAGAACTGAGGCTGGAATGACTAAGGGTGGCGTTGCCTGCGAAATGAAAGAAGTGGCTTTTACCCCTTAGGCTGAGAGGATCCATTAAACTGTATTGATTTAAGGATTTCAGAGAGGCATTTAGCACTCTATCTAGCACTCCATCTAGCACTCTTATCTGTCTTTCCAGAGAGCATTTTAGAAAGATCAGTAGGAGTGATACTGGAGAGGATTTGCTAATACAAGGAGACCTGAATGTGATCAGGATGCCAAGAGACCTACCCCGGTGATCTCCGTGGTTCCTCTGATGAAACCGTGGAGGTGACTAAGAAATCAAGGAATTAAAACTGCTCAAGGGAATATTCAAATTGGAATCAGGAGGCCACTGGGGACTATAATTTATGCACATCTATGGCATCTGAGGGCTTGATATACTGGATTTACAATTGTGTACAATCCCCTCAGTAAAACTGCATCCTGACACGGAATTTAGGGAGCTTGAAGAGATGACATGGGGCTACTCCCGGAGATGGACACATCTCACTGGACCTCAGCATCCAGGAGGACAATCTATCACTGCACTGACAGCAGGCAGTCAGTCCCTTCCTTGAACATGTTTTTCTCTCCCCTTTTAAATAATTTCATTAACTTACCTATAGCAGGCAGCTCAATTCATATAAGTCCTGCATTTTTCCTCACATCAGACTGCTGACATGGCTTTGCCCTAGTGTTGTCTTCTGGATTGCAATCCCATAAAGAACCCAAATTAAATCTTTGTTGTCACTGACAGATTAAGATCTGGGGCAGGGTTAATAAAAACAAGTCAGTGCTTTGGGCTCTGTGCTGCTCTGAGCCTTTCATGACATCACTACATGACTTACAAAGTCGATGGTTGCTCTTTATATGTGGCGGGGACTAAAATCAGCACTGTCTTCCACAGTAGTTTAAAAATGCAGATGGAATTGTGTTTTCATCTCTCCAATTACATAATGATGAGACTGGGGCGCATTTCAAGAATAATTTGAAATTAGAAAAACACACATATCTAAGAAACACCCAACGTGTCAGTCAAACCTCAAGTAAAAAGAAGTACAGGAATTTAGAAACCTTACATAAGGGACCAGGAAAAAGACTAACTATAATAAAGAAAAAATCTAAATCAACAAGCAACTATAAACCAGAGACACACTACGGGGTATGGAGAGGAAGGATTAGGGTCAAAATAAGGGGGGTTCAATTGTATGGGAAATATAACCAAAATGAAAATGCATACATTGTGCAAAAATGAAAAATGATGTAAGAATTATATAAAATAAAATCTTAAATAAATAAAATCTTAAAAAAAATAAATGAAAAAGCAAAAAAAAAAAAAAAGTGAAGATCAAAAATGAGAATTCCATAATGGGTAGTAAAGGAAAAGGTGGGCATGTGTTTGGAGCAGAGGTCTGGGAGACTGAGACGAAATTTGTGGATCTATTGATTGGAATTGAAGGTCTAAATGTGAAGCTTCTGCTTGATTCTGATAGATAGCACTGCCCGGTGCAGGCTAGCGGCCTGGTTAATAAAATAGAGGGGTTCAGCCAGTTCTCAGCGGGTATCACCAAAGTCCAAAGTTATCAGAGCTTATATTTAACACAGTTTATTTATGGATACCACTTTTCCCTGTAATGTAATGTGCGTCTGCACATTATTCTATTAGTAGATTAAATAAATTGCCAGTTTAACAATTATAAACATTTGGAAACAAGTGATAGGATTTGTTCATTAAACGTGACTGTACAAACACACAACCGTTTACTATTACCATGCGGGTGTCTTCAGTTTAAAAAGCTTTTCAGATGCTTGAATAACTCTCATGTGGTCATTGGCCAGGACACTGGCACCCAGGAAAAATCCAACTTCCCAGTAGCTCTGGAGTTTTTCCAAATTTCCCTTTTTCCCAAGAAGGCTACTTAGCTTCACCCCTAGAAGAGATGGACAGGAAGTACAATGTTACAAATACACAGCAGGCAGAGTTGACTTATTTATTAAAAAGTAAAATTAACTTTTCATTCCTCATTTCACATTAAAATAGCATTGTTAAATTTCTGATTAGTCACTGTAAAAAAAATTAATCAGACTAATCAGAAAGGTACACAGAAGAAAATAAAAATTTCCCTTTAATTTGAAAACTTAAAGATATTAGCCACTGTGGCTTTGATGTTATTTCAGAATTTTTATGTGTCTGTACATGCAAAAATTAAAAGCTGATTCACACCAATACCTTATTATGTAACCTCCCCCCATTATTATATTGCAGATACTTTAGATAATTAAAGAGAAACAGGCTTAAATTCTATCAGCTGAAACACAAATGTTGCAACATATGTACCACAAGAGTAAAATGTGACAGTAATTAATAGTAATTTTATATGCATGACAGTTATTGTAAAGTTACGTGACAATGTCTTGATAACTGTTTTGTTATAAGACTTGAAATTAGGTCACGTAAATCCTCCAACTTTGTTTGTTGCAATTGTCTCTGTTCTTCTCATAGCATTATAAATATTCACTTTTCTAGTGCCTTGTATTTTTTTTTCACTTGTATTTGTTTAAAAAAGAATATATTCCCAGAGAATTGTTTAGTGCCACTAACAGCCATCACATTGAACTGTCAGGAAAATTATCCGAGGTTTGGAAGAAAGGTGGAAAGGTGGGACATGTTATTTCACTGTCATATGGGCTCAGAAGGCTACTCTAGGGCTGGGTAGGGGATATGTAGCTAGTTCACCTCATTATTACAGTTTAATAAAATCTCTGGGCCTTCCCGGTGGTGCAGCGATTGAGCGCTGGGTTGCGAAGCTGCCTGAAGCCTCTGCAGCGTCGGTTCGATCCCCGGCTGCTCCCCGGCCACCGGAGGAGGGTCCCACATGGCGCGCAGCCCTCTCTTGCCGCCCGCTGCTCCCCTCAGCAGTGTACCCCTCAGCAGTGTGCTTCGGTCCTTCTGCCTGCTCTGCTCCCTGCTCTGGTGAATTCTCTCACCCTCCCACGCTTCTGGCTGTACCCAGTGCTTGCATAAATAAATAAAAATAAATCTTTAAAAAAAATAAAAATAAAATCTCAAACTTAGAGAAGTGTATTTATTTATTGGAGAGTTTTTTCCCCTATCGCTGGGCTGGCTAACCCATGAGGGGAACCGCCCCCTCCCTGCTCAGGTTGTCCACTAGAGGCTGGACAACACCCACCCAAGCTGTACTGTCCCCCTCCCAGGACCTCATATTGGGGATGGGGAATAGATGTTCTGCAGAACTTGAGAGGACAGCCTAGGGACACTGGGGGTTAGTGAGTTTGGGTCTTGGATACGCCATAGTGGTCACTCCTTCTGTTCCTCAACCAGGAGGACCCAAGGGAAGTACCAAGGGCCTTGGGTCTATCTATAGGTTTTTGTTCAGTAATGATGCAAATAATATTTGTCCAGTTAAACAGTCCCTAAGATTGATGACCTGCTAGACATAAACCAGTTATTTTTAACCAATCCCAGAAAGCCTATACTAATATATATATATATATATATATATTTATATATATATATATATTTTTTTTTTTTTTGGGTGGGACCCTCGCTGGCGGTCAGGGAACAAACTGGCGCTGCAGAGGCTGCGGGCAGCCTCGCAGCCCAACGCTCAACCACTGCGCCATCCAGGGAGGCCCAACCTATACTAATATTTCTAAGTTAAATTCTCTGGTTATACTAGCTTCTTAAATGCTCTTTGAACTAGATTACTATTTTCCATAGTGAATAAATTAAATAAAATCTTACATGTCCATTTTATATTCCTGAGAGTTACAAGAATGTAATTCTTGACAATTATGACAATTACATCTTAACAAAACAAAACCTTAAAAAACTTTATGCTATTTTTGATCATTTATTAAGTCATAAATATCTCAGAAAAAGTTCCCTTGGGAATTTTTCCTTTGTTGTGGTAATAGAGAAGTTTTGTCACCTTAAAATTTCAAGTGATAAAAAAATTACACACTTGTATGTAATAAGAGCCACACCTTCCTATCTGGACATAATGAAAAACATGAAAACTACAAAGGGAAGAAGAAAATGCAGGTGGAAAATGAGATACTGAGAACCTGAGATACTGTCAATCTCAGTTGCAAATGAGCATTTCCTTATTGGGTCAGACTTGGAAAATAATGGTTCAGAACTGGTCTAGCAGGAAATCAAAATGTTAAACTTTTATTTATTTTTTTAAAGAGTTATTTATGCATACAGGAACTGAGGTTTAGGTCAGAGGTGTGAGGGTGGTGAGAGGATTCACCAGAGACAGTGGAGAACAGAACAGGTGAATCTACTGAAATACACTGCTGAGGGGAGCAGCCGGTGAGGCAGGAGAGGTCTACCGTGCCATGTGGATAGCTTCCTGGCCAGGGAGCAAACTCCTGCAACAGTGGCTGCAGATTGCTTCATAGTGCTGTGTCTTAACCCCTTGCACCACTAGGGAGGCCCCCAAATGTTAAACTTTTAAATAGGGACTATGAAAATGTTTAAGAGTAATATTAAAATAATAGCTTAAAAGCAAAATTTCCTATTTACTTCCACCTGCCAGAAGTTCACTCTATGAAGATAATATTTGGCCATGGCCATTGCATTAATTTATTACATGATTGTGTCACCTAGTCATTCAACTTTTGGACAAGGTGCATTCTTTCTTTAGGGCAAATAGTATTATGGCTTATAGATGTGCCATGATTTATTTACCCAAATGCAGATGATGGTCAACACTGTACATATAGTTTTGTATATTTGTTAATTATTTCTTTGTAGTAAAAGTCCTAAACCTAGATTTGTTGGGGGCAGAAAATGTACCCATTTTAAATGTTGATACATTTTGCCAAATGTTGTACTAATTTATGCTCTCACAGATGGTACCTGACAATAATCTTTTGTCCACACTTTCCAATTATGGGTACTATTAGCCATTCATTTTTCATAACCAGATAGAGGAAAAAAGAAACATAACTTTTTTAATCAATGAGATTGTCTTTTAATATGTTTGTACTTCTTTTGTGAATAAGTTTTTATGTTCTTTCATATGATATAGGTAACCTTTCACATGATGTATGAAATATAAAGATGCTAATCTTTTAAGTATGGCACTAAGCACATAACTCTAGTTTTTTTATATTTAGGGGTCTCTTTCTCCTCTCTGCCTCCCTTCTCTATCTTCCCTCCATCTACTTCCCTAAGAAATAGAAGAGTAGATACACATATTAGGACATAAAATTTGTTCGATATTTTGGATTACCTCCATACAATAGTCTCAAAAGCAGCATTATACTTGGTCCCAGACTACAACTTTTTTTTTTTAAGATTTATTTATATGTACAAGAACTGGGGTACAGGCCAGATGCATGGGAGGGGGAGAGGATTCACCAGAGACAGAGCAGGGAGCAGAACAGGCAGACAGATGGAAGGCACTGCTGAGGGCAGCAGCGGGCGAGACAGGAGAGGTCTGCTGTGTCATGTGGGTTTCTCCACTGGGATGGAACCCGCGCTGCAGAGGCTGTGGATAGCTTCACGGTGCGGCGCTCAACCTGCTGTGCCACTGGGGAGGCCCCAGACTGCAACATTTTTAAGGCTTTATATCCACAGGGTTCAACTATTAAAACATGATTGTTCATGTACAATGATAACTTTTTACCAAGTCCTTACCAGCTATTTTCTTTATTAAAAATTTTTTTGACTAAATTTATAAGCAACAAACAGTATGTTATTGTTTTAAATACCAATACTTGCATTCAGTTGGGCAATTTTGACAATGTTCTAATTCAAATGGCTGACTTCTAAGAATTAAAGACTTTTTGATAGTTTAGTTTCTACTTAGCATTTACAACTGCTATTAGACTCGCTTTAGACTGTTTTAATGGAGAAAGCTAGGAGACAGAAGTTTTACTGAACACTCATAAGCCTTAAACTGTGCAAAGCACACTGAAAATGCAACTCTTTCAATCTATGTGATAACACCAGTTAGAAATTATCTCCCTTTTACAGTGTGGGGAAAAAAGCTCAAAGATATTTAGCAACTTGTTTAAGGTCATACAGCCCATAATTAGTAGAGGATATATGTTCTTTTCATTACAAAAAAATTAAAAGATACAAGAAAACACACTACAATGAATCAAAATATTTTCAGTGATTGTCAGCATTTTACTATTGTTTTATTTCTCTGAATACTTCTACTCAGCCATTTCAAACTAAATTACAACATGACACTTACCCTTAGATACTATTCCTATTCAATTATTGCACCTAACAAAAATACTTGCCTCATGCAATATCTGATCTTGATTCAAATTTCTTAATTGTTCCCCAAATGTCTGCAATACCTTTTTTTCAAACCAGAATTCAATCAAGCATTAAGAATTGCATTGGTTTCTTATGTCTCTAAACTAGTTCTTTCTACCTAACCAATCCACCCACACATTTTGCCCATGACATTGACCTTTTGAAGAGACCAAGAGGGCTGTCCTGTAGCAAGTCCTTAGGTTGTGGACCTGTAGGCACTTTGTAGTGTTGGCGCACAGTGGTCTCTAGCCACTCTGATTCCTGTTAACTAAACAATAGAGCTTAAGATTTGGGTTAAACATTTTTGGGGAGACTGTGTCTCAGGAGATGTTGCTTACTCCTAATGCGTGACAAGAGGAGGTAAGGTTGGATCTTCTCACCATCAGGAGTGCTAGCTGGATCACTGACATCTGGATCCCAGCAGGAGATATTTACAAATAATTGTGTGGGCACATTTGTTCCTTGGTGATTAACAAAACATCTGTGATTAAGCTTTGGCACCATATAAATATGGTAAGTAAATGAAAAACAACTAGGTTTCACTTAATGGTTTTAATTCTAATTGATGATCCTTGCTAGAATCATTATTTCAGCATCACTGTCAATATCAGTTTTAGCATCTCATCTACTTCATTAGCTTGAATTTGCTTGAAGAATAGATATTCCTGAAGCATAGTACACTGAATATGTAGCATTCTCTAAAAAGAGCTTTACACCAGCAACTGGATGAATTATAGTATCTCTCAAAAAGAAGGTAAAGTACTTAATTCCTTCCATTTAATTTCTAATTTTCTAAGAAACTGATCACCTCTGAATTGCTCTGTGGTTGGTGATGGATTTTGTTTTTCTTTTGATTTTGTCTTTTTGGTTTTCTTTATAGACTCATGGACATTTATATTCAATAATAAAATTTTTATTTTTATTGTTTTCTGAAAATGAGATTCAACAGTGGTTTGTCCAAATTCATGCTCACTGTTTTCTCATTACATCCTCTTTACTGTTGGAGATCATAACCTATATTCTGACTCTCTCATGAAACATCTCAGTTGAAAAATCCTACAGAAAATGGGAGAATCATTTTCTATTTAGTTAAACTTCGAATTTTACTTTTATGTCTTGTGAAACTGAAAGTAGGAGAAAATGTAAGATACAATGCTGTATTTTAAAATCCTAGTCTAAATACTCTAAAAATCAATAATTATTCAAAAACTGGGAAAGTAAAACATCATGAAACAATTACTAACAGCCTGAAACAAACACATACAAACCAGAATTAAGTCTTTAGGCAACAGGTTTTGACAGTTAAGAATGGTTTCTGACATTAGAGATCTCAAACAATATAATATGTTTAGAAAGTTTCAGTTTTAGAGATCATTTGATGACATCTTAATTTTTAATGATTTACCCTTTGGAAATAAATCAAAATTTCAAAATGTACCTCATGAAGGAATGTCATAGAAAAGTCTTTTACTTAGAAATTTGGTAATTCAGACTAATTTGTGTTATATGCAAGGAACCCACAGAAGGAATGAGAGAAAACATAAAGTATAAAATTTTGATTAATGTTTCTCAAAAAAGTACAAACTGTATATCTTTAAAACAAGTCAAATATGTTGTTAATCAATCTGGTTTTTATTTTATATCACTAATTAATCATTGCTATATTAGATGACTTAGAGTTTTTCCTTGAAAAGTCCTTTAATTCTATTTTATCATGGGAAAATTAATTTCAGGCCAATCTATGTTGATGAGTTGATGAGCATAATGCGCAACAGTATATAATCTAAAGTAGTGAGTCTTAACTGTCTTTTATTATTAAGGAAATACTTTAGAGTATATGTCGCTGTAGAAGCCTAAAACTCTTAGAAGCCTAAAACTTTGCTTTTATAGTCACTAAAAATCCGTCACTGCAATATTTTAAGTCTGTGTATGTTTTGAAATTTTCAACATTTTAAATTTAACTTCATATATTTCCAAATGCTTATTCACATGTATTATGAATAACTTCTTGGAAAATATTATGTGTAAGCTTAAGATCTATAGTTTATTGATTTGATACATTTGCAGATTGCAAAATGATTCCACATAGCATTAGCTATGTCCCATAATTACCATTTCATTTTTGTGGTGAGAATAATTAAGTTCAACTTTCTTGATAGAGAGCTGGTCATTTTGATCTACCTTTAAAAATGGGAATTTAGAATAGATATATTTCAAACACTGTATTACTGCTTTACCCACATATACAAATCACTGTCAATTTCTGTAATGATTCAGAAGCTTCAACCAGACTTCATCTTAAGTTCAAGAATGGATGAATACAAATTATTTTTAAATAACTGGCACATAGTTTTGTATAGATTTTGAAAATTAACTTTAGATTAAAAATATTACTATAATCATTATTTCTGAGTAGCATGTTACCATGTATTTTCTCTGATTTCATCTGCAACTGAAAAAAAAAAACCCAAAAAACTTCAAATAAAGCTTTGTACATTGAAACTACTGCAATCCAGCAGTGATATTTTGTAATTCATTTAACCTGGGCCTTTAAAAAAGTACTCAAGGGCCTCCCCCGTGGCACAGTGGTTGAGCGCTGGGCTGCGAAGCTGCCCGCAGCCTCTGCAGCGCCAGTTCGATCCCCGGCCGCCAGGCGAGGGTCCCACATGGCGTGCAGACCTCTCCTGCAGCCCGCTGCTCCCCTCGGCAGTGTACTTCGTCACTCTGCCTGTTCTGCTCTCCACTCTGGCTCTGGTGAATTTTCTCACCCTCCCCGCTTCTGACTGTACCCCAGTGCTTGTATAAATAAAGAAATAAATCTTAAAAATAAAATAAAATAAAATAAAAAGTACTCAAGGTGGCCTAGGAGTTAAATCTCAGTGCTATCACCACTACAGTCTGAGTTTTCTCCCTGGTCAGGGAGTTAACCCACATATGGCGCCGCAGACCTCTCCGGTCTGTGGCGGTGCTCCCTTTAGCAGTATATTTCAGTAAATGCACCTGTTTTGCTCCCCACACTGTCTCTACTGAATCCTCTTACCCCCGCAGCTCTGGCCTAAGTTCCTGTTCTTCTATGCAAAAAAAAAATTACTGAATACTCAAACTTTATTTTGCTCAGAGACTTCCCAGAACATTACATCCAGTTTTATTTTAGAGTTTTATATTTTTAAGATTTATTTATTTATACAAGAGCTGAGGTACAGGTCAGAGGCACAGGAGGGTGAGAGAATTCACCAGACAGAGTGGGGAGCAGAACAGACTGAACCGAGCAGATGGACCGAAGACACTGCTGAGGGGAGCAGCGGGTGAGGCAGGTGAGGTCTGCGGCACCATGTGGGTATCTCCCTGGCTGGCCGGGAATCAAACTGGTGCTACAGAGGTTGTGGACAGCTTCACAGCGTGGTGCTTGACCCACTGCACCACAGGGGAGGCCCCTACATCCAGTTATTTTATAAGTTCCTCCCAACCTATGTGAAAAAGTCGAGAACTCATTTTTCTTTAAAGGGAAATTTAAAAGAAATTCTCCAGTTAAAAATCTTAAAGAAAAAGTCTTCTATAATTCATAACTTCACTAAGATTTACTTTTTATCCAAGAAAAATATGGCAACATAGTTCACTGTCTGCTGTAATAATTCCTGCAAGAGTTGGAAAAGTTCTCTGAAACAGGTGGTTACCCAGAGAGCAAGATCTGATTACCAAGGAGAGTATTCCTGCATTCAGAATATTAAAAATAAATGTTACCCACATCAGCACCAAGACAATCAGACAAAATTCGTTTAGTAAGATGCCCTAATTTCTTTAAATTCCAAAGAAATATCAGCAGATGAGATGCTTTATAGGTAAAAGAGAGGCTCATTCTATCAATGGCTTCAATTCAGACATCGTCTCTAAGGAGACTCAGTCACTGCCAAGATTTGGGGCTTTGGGAAGCTTCACCCCAACACCACTGAAGTCACAGGGACAGGTGTGCATGTGGGAAACAGAAACAGGAAATGTTAGATCTTCCCCCTCCTGCTCCTTTTAAAGCACCAGGAAAGCAGTATCAATCTAAAATAGAAAACATTCCCAATGTTCCACAAGACACTGCCTTACTTAGGAGTTGGAGGTTCAATGCTGAGTCCATATTGTAAATATCATTTTGAGATGGAATAATAAATAGTAAACAGGGGATTTTTAAAAACAAGTATAAGTTAAAAACTCAACTACATCCCAATGTCAAGATTCTGAACTAAAGAAATTTAAATGAGATAGAAAGCAAAAGGACTATCTATGGTTCTTTTGCTTTGCACCAAGTTGGGTACAATTACTTAATTTCCATGTAAATTCCCAAACTGTAATTACCAACTTTCCGGAGCTCAAAGGAAGATTCAAACTGGTGCCCAGCTGCCAGGAGGAGGACCGCATAATTAATTCCTGACTGTAGTGTTGGCTCAGATTCAAATGCCTTTTTGAACCTATAAAGAAAAAGCAAATGTATGAGTTTACTTTCTCAATCTTGAAACCCTGAGTGTGCAATGACTTCTGTTTGCATAACTCCAATGCCTGAGCAAGTAAAAATATTCCACTGGCCTTCACCCCAGAATCTAATGTGCTATTAGGATTTAATGCTTAAGTAACTGCATATCCTCACCCTCAATTCAACTGCATTCCGCACTTAACTCACCCTACCTAAGTAGCCTAGCCTTTCACAAAAGCCTCTCTTCAACAGTCTACCAGGAGAGAAAGAATACACAAACAGAAGAATTAAAAAATGAAAAACTTGCACATATTTTTTACAGTGGCTTTTAAAAAGCTGTAAAAGTACACAAAGCAGTGAGGATCACTTAGGTAACATACTGAAACAAATGGTTCCAAAAGACTGATATAGAAATAAAATATTGAATGTCAGTTGCACTACAACATTAAGAAAAACAGAGATTTTGTCTGTACATACTAATTTTGGGTCAAAGAGAAAATAAGAATCCTTTTCTGTATGTGCATGTAACTGAGTATCAATCTTTAAAAACACTTCACCATTTGAAAAGACTTCTGTGTTTGCACACAAACTGCATTTTAAGGGAAAACTTCCTGGAACCTGTTCAAGGATTTCCTCACATATATCATTTAACATATGACAAAATTCAACATTATTTCTTTTGGGAGCATGAAGAAGAGGAAATTTAAAACAACTGCCCCGGTGACCAGTAGAAAGTGCCTGAGACAAATATGAAAAATGAAAACTTTGTTTTAAAAAATCAGATAGGGGCCTCCCTGATGGCGCAAGGGGTTAAGACACAGCTATGAAGCTGTCTGCAGCCACTGCAGCAGGAGTTCGATCCCGGCCAAGGACCTACCTACGTGGCGCAGCAGACCTCTCCTGTCTCACCCACTGCTCCCCTCAGGATTGTATTTCAGTTGATCTGCCTGTTCTGTTCCCCACTCTGTCTCTGGTGAATCCTCTCACCCCCCACAACTCTGGCCTGTACCCCAGTTCTTACATGCATAAATTAATAAATCTTAAAAAAATCAGATAGAGGAAAATTTAAAGACTAAATACTGAATGATCATTTGATGATACCAAAAGGATTAAGTAGGGAAAAATATATTACAATTCCAAAATAAAGGCATTCTTATTTAAATTGTTAATGGTGTAAGAGAGGGACAGCAAAAGGGTATCAAGCACACTGGTGTGTATTATAGTGAATTCTTGGTTACTATATATACTTGAAATTTTTCATGACTTAAACTTATAAGTTATTCTTCAAAAGAAAAGAAAAATATATTTTTCTGACTATTGAGGACCATGTGCCCTTTTTAAGGATCTTACTTTTTAGCAGAGCAAATGTTCTTGATTAGAAACAGAAGTCAAATTAATATTAATCTTAACTACTTGGCTTGAATACCTACTTGTGTGGAATAGGGAAAAAAAATTTCCAACTGCATTACTGTTGGTGATTAAAAAGTATTTTTATCTCTCTAAATGTACAGTTGTTTCCTCTTTTCTAAAATGAAAAAAGCCTATACCCCAGACTGCTGATGTTCAAAGCCAGTCATATAAAGGACAGACAAGATTTAGGTGTCGTAGGCTCATAATTCTTAAAGGTCTTTGTGTTTATTCAGAGGCAAGTAGGAGGTCCCAGTAAGAAAGTATGTAGAAGAAAGAAGTTGTACACTTTTTTTCATACTAATTTATATCAAAATACATAGTATTTTTCAGGCCTCCCTGGTGGCTCAAGGGATTAAGACGCAACCTATGAAGATATCCACAGCCACTGCAGCATGAATCCAATCCCCAGCCAAGGAGCTACCCACATGGCACAGCAGACCTCTCCTGTCTCACCCGCTGCTCCCCTCAGCAGTGTATTTCAGTAGATCTGCCTGTTCTGCTCCCCACTCTGTCTCTGGTGAATCCTCTCACCCCCCACACCTTTGGCCTATACCCCAGTTCTTGTATGTATAAATAAATAAATAAATATTTTTTAAAAATGTAGTATTTTTCAACAACTGTATTCTTTCATTTCCCCTGCAACCAAAGAACATGAAATATTTTTTCTTGAAGATATTAAGAATATGCAAAAAGCAACACACTCAAATAAGTCAGTATTGGACTGAACACAGGAATTCCTATGTGCCCAAACCAGCCACAATGAAAAGTTGGACTTGTATCTATTTTTCTGTTATCATAATTTATATTTTTATATTTTAACCAAGATATAAATACCAATAAAATGAATAATTTATATTTTTGTAGGGCTCATAGCACTCCATAGCAATATATTTTGTATGGGGGAAAAAGTCTTAATATTTACTGGAGATCAAAATTACAAGTAGATCTATCACAAAGGAACTCCTGCCACAAATTATTAATATACCACCCACAAGAAGTGAGAATTCTCGTATATTGTAAAAGCAAATTAGTATAGTATTTCTTGGCAGAAATTTCCCAATCCCTATCAAAATTATAAAATTTTTTAAAAGACCCAACCATACCTGCTGATACAATTACACATCTACAAATTTATACTAAGAAAAAACATTCTACAACACAGAATGAAATGTATTCCAAATATTCAAAAGCTATATAGTCATTTAAATTGTAGATGAATATTCAATGCTTGTTTCTAAGAAAGACATAGTAGTCTACTTGAAAGCCATCACTTCTGCTAAAACAACTAGGGGGAAAAAGTTAACACCACCAAAACATTTTTATAGACATTTGAGATCTACGGAAGCACAGCCATCACAACATAACATTGAAATATAAACCCAAGAAGGAAAATATCCCTCCAAAATAAGCTAAATTGCTTTTGTTATCTAGTGGGGCATTTGCTGATTCTGACCCATAAGATTAAATTTGGATTTGGCATAAGGAGAGAAACTCTACCTATTTGAAACTCTACCAGGAAAAGAGAAACTAGTGGATTTCCTGATAGTTACATGGGTTAGCATGGCAGAGTGAAACCAGCAGTCATCCCAAACATGTAGTCAAGGGCAGCTGTTGAATGCTGGGTGGTACAGGAGGCTGAGGGAGGAGGTCAGGCTGAGACAGCAAAATGAAATCTCTCTGTGAGCAGAGAGATTTATGAGTCTTATTTATGAGATGATAAACAAGAGGGCAAAAACAGGCAAGAGGTGCTGACTCACAAATAATTCAGCTGTTGAGGTTTATAGACAGGATTTTAAAACAGTAATTACAAATATAGTAAAGAAAAGTAAGAAAAAGATGGGCAAATGGATGAACGGCACACAAATTTAAGAGTTGATATCTTAAAAAAACCCTAAATAACTAATTTGATTCAATTAAAAAAATCAAATAATCAAACTGAAATATGCAATACCTGAAAATAAGGATTTATTGTCTGGGTTTAACAATAGACCATACAGAGCATAAGATAATTTGGTGAACTAAAAATAGGTAAATGAAAAGTACCTTAACTACAGAGAGGGGGAAAAAGGGTAAAGTAACAACAAAGCATGAGGACAAGAAGGACATAGTTAAATGGTCTAATATCTATATTGTTGTAGCCCCAGAAAAAGAAGAGGGACAATATGGGTCATAAGAAACATATGAAGACAGGGCCTCCCTGGTGGCACAAGGGATTAAGTCACAGCACTATGAAGCTATCTGCAGCCTCTGCAGCACAAGTTAGATCCCTAGCCAGGGAGCCACACACATGGCACAGCAGACCTCTCCTGTCTTGCCCACTGCTCTCCTCAGCCGTGTATTTCAGTAGATATGCCTGTTCTGCTCCCCACTGTCTCTGGTGAATGTTCTCACCTCCCCGCCACCCTCCTATACCTCTGGCCTATACCCCAGTTCTTATATGCATAAATAATAAATCTTTAAAAAAAAACACATGAAGACATATTAGCCAAAAAATATTCCAACACTGGTGAAAATAATAACCCATAGATTCAAGAATCTCAGCAAGTCTCAAGTAGAATGAAAAAAAAAAAAAATCACCACATTCTAAATGCTTTGAAAATCAGCCAGAGGAAAAAAAGATGCATTTCCTTCAAAAGCGCAATAAAATCAATAGTTGACTTTGCAATACAAACTGGTAACCTAGAAGATACCATAACATATTTAGAATGAGTTAAAAAAAAAAAGTTGTACTGGGAGAACATTTTTGCACCCAACACTAATGATAAAGGACTGATCACAAAAATCTGCAAAGAGCTGATGAGACTCAACAACAAAGAAAATAACCCAGTCAAAAAATGGGCAGAAGAGCTAAAAAGAAACTTCTCTGAAGAGGAAATGCAAATGGCCAACAGGCATATGAAAAAATGTTCAACATCACTTGTAATCAGGGAAATGCAAATCAAAACTACCATGAGATACCATCTTACACCAGTGAGAATGTCACATATTAAAAAAACTAGCAACAACAAATGTTGGCGAGGTTGTGGAGAAAAAGGAACTCTCCTGCACTGTTGGTGGGAATGCAAACTGGTCCAACCACTATGGAGAGCTGTGTGGAGATTTCTGGACCTACTAAACATAGAGCTTCCATATGATCCAGCAATTCCACTCCTAGGTATTTACCCAAAGGACACAGAAACATCAATTCCAAAGAACACCTGCACCCCTATGTTTATAGCAGCACTATTTACAATAGCTAAGCTTTGGAAACAACCCAAATGCCCAAAAATAGATGACTGGATCAAGAAGATGTGGTACATATATACCATGGAATATTACTCAGCATTCAAAAAAGATAAGCACATGCAATTTGCAGCAACATGGATGGCGCTGGAAGGGATCATGCTCAGCGAAATAAGCCAGAAAGAAAAAGAAAAATACCGGATGGTCTCACTCATAGCAGGAATCTAGAAAACTTAAATAAGGGACCAGGAAAAAGAATAACTATAAGAAAGTGAAAATCAAAATCAACAAAAAACTATGAACCAGAGACACTTTTTGGGGGGTGGGGGCCGGGAGGGGAGGGATTGGGGTCAGAATGGGGCATGT